TTTCGACATGCTTTTTCCATTTCTGGCATTCGTTAAGTTATAGCCCATAATTTTATGAAAAGTAGGTCACGTGATGGCTTAGCTGCAAAGGGCCTATCGACTGCAGGCATTCTGTGAATAAAAGGTCATAAAATTGTCCATAATTTTTGTTTTTAATTCCGAGCGTGGTAAACTTTTATTTTACTGAAGGAGATGAAGAAATCTATTTGTTATTCGAAGCATTTCGGGAAAAAGAAACGTTTTCATTTTATTGAAATCTCGATTCTCTATGCACTTTCAAGGTTGCATTCGAATTGGCCCTTGACCGCGTTTAGGGAGTCTGGGGCGAGGGAGGATGACAACTTCTACAAAATAGCGCCTCGACAATTACAGGCATACATGTCAGTCGCAACACTTCTGATTGATCACACAACTTTGCCGGCTATGTTAAAAATAACTGTGGGGTTAGAAGACATTGGCGATACAGGTTGTCGGTAACATTTCTACAAATTGCTAGTTGGCATTAAGCAGAAAACTTTGAAAATGGCGTTTCGAAGTCTGCGGAACAAATTCCAGTGAGAGTTCTTCAATGGTGCTCACAGATTCACTTCCCTTGTTTCAGTTCGACAAAGTCAACCCATGCCCATCTATCATCTTTACTGTGCCACTGACCGATCATCACCAGTAAATTGTACATCTAAACTGCTTGCCATATTCTGGAGTGGTCATAAAATTATAGAAAGGAGCCTCAAGGAAAAATGACCCTGAGCGCTCATTAAATTTTGGCAGTTCAAGGGAGGACAGGGAGGGGCCAACTGTAAACGGGACGTTTGCTCAGACAGGACGAGTATTCTGATCTTACCTGAACCGCTATGGAGTGCCCAAACTACAAAACGACTACTCTTAACCAAAAAATACTAAAATTACAGCCAGGATTCATGAGTTTGAAACTTGGCCTAAAAAACGTTGAAACAACCGTTGTGGAAAAGTCTACTCTTGCAGATAACGATTCAGCTTTAAACTAACAAAATAATATATCGTTTTGAACTGAACGAAAAACAAAAGCCTGACGCGTTACACAAGTTCAAATCTCACTGTATATTACACTTACCAGACTAAGGGGTGTGAATTATAACAAAAGTGCTTACTACAAACGCACCTTTCTTTCTGTCATATGTGCAACGAAACGTAACTTCTACATCCGGGAAAAACGACACCACTTGGCCGGTTCCAGTCTCTTCACGCGCGATGAACGTGTTGGTGAAAATCATGTGATCCTGGGTAACCTCAGACTTTGTACCGCAGTTATAATGAGACGTCTTTATTAAGACATGGGAACTGTTCACCAGGAAAGGTTTGCAGTGATCATCGTTAAGATGCATGTCAATCTTGGACCGAAGAGTTTGCCAAAGGCGCGAGTTAAATTTCACGTCAAGCTGCATGAAGTCCTGCGTGCAAGTCACGTGACTATCAATGAAACGTGACTCTGTTGAAAAAAAGAATGACGAACATTTTTTCAAGTCTATTTTATTACTGCGTTTAAATATTCTCAACTGACGGCCTCTGGTCACATAGAAGGGGTTTTCGTTTACTTCAGCAATATCCTCATTCAGGGTCACACACAATTCCAAGCTTTCGATGTATTTCGACGAAAGAATAGTCCTACATGCGACGTTTTTAAATGCGCGGTAAACTCGTATAGGTAATCGTATGAAGGCGAGGGGAATTAAGTATTAACACTACGTGTGATGTTTGAAAATTCTCTCAAAATTGCACGAACCTTTAGGGCTCTTTTAAGAGGGCGCAATTTGAAAGAACTTTCCAATATCACGAGTAGTTAAGTCCTTTTGAAATTGCTCGAACTTTCAGGCGATTACTCGTTTATTTTATGACATCACAGTGAACTTGAGTTACCAACGCGCATGCGTTAATTTGCACTCTATGGTGCAAATTAAAATTAACGATAAATTGGCCGACTCTCAGCCAATCCCAGTTAAGTAATTTTCTCAATCATAAAATAAATTCATTTATTTTTGAGTGGTGTTTCACTCAGAGCGACGCTGGGCACAATTAAGGGACAATTTGCGAGCACGGCACGTGCGTAATCAAACTCACAAAAAAGAACAATGGAAGTGTTGCCATCTGCTCATAGCTTTCATGGCGATCATTCGACACTTGAAACAAAATTAGCAAAAAAAACCTGCAAAAAGCAGTATGACAACATTCTCGTCACAATGCTGGCAACGAATTCAATTAACGTAAACGTGATCTTTCGTTACATGGAGTAAAAGTAAATTAAATTTGTTAAATTTGTGGGTGCCATTTTTTTCACCGAAAAGCGTGATTTCGTTCTCCTTAAGGCAAATTTGCACATTAACCCATTTTTGCTAACATCAATATCAAAATTCTTCCAGCTGTTTTGATACATCTCTATAATCCCTCTTAGGAGAATTTGGTCGAGATCAGTTTCGTAACTTCATCACCTGCCGTCCTGAATAGTAGAGAACGAAATTTAGCTGTCGTTCACCATTAGGAATTTCATGAAGATCCTATATTCCTTTCCACGTCAATTTTCGACAGTTATACAGTATCCACTGTACATTTTAATTACCTTAATTAATGCCGTTAAATAACTCCAATTTTTAGATATATATTTTTTTCAATGAGGATCTTGGCCTTTGGAAAATGCCTACTCGCTTGATGGGTGTTGGAGCCGGCGAAAGTTGTCGCTAGATGTTACCCCGGACTCGAAGCAAAGGAAATAATCTTGGCTGATACTTTTTCGTCGTCTGGCATGATCTAAAGGCCACCATAAAGTTACTGTCTGATTACTAAGAGTTACGAGTCGCCGGCAAATATATCAGGGTATTTTTGCTGAAACGTAAATATGGTGCAAGTTACGCACAAGCATGGAAAACACTGCAAGTAAAACTCTAGCGGTCAGACACAATCAAAAACAAAAATGAAGCAATCAGAGGAAAAAAAACATGACGTTACATAGATACCTTTTAGAGAAGAAACTCCAGAAGTGAAAACCACCCAGGCGTAAAGAAGGGAAAGGCACCAAATATATCCATCGGACCTAAACATTTTGACTTGATCTCAATCTTCGTGCTCTGCTATAAACAGAAGTTAACTTCACGGCTCGCTGTTACGTAAAACCATAGTTTTGGTAGTGTCAATGTCTAGACCTTAAAACCAAATTCTTGGTTTGTGTCCAAGTATTCAGTTTAGAAATAATAACAGTGCTTTGTTTCCGGTCGATGAAAGATAAATCTGCTTAAGGGAGGTCGCTCATAGTATTATTCTAGATGTCGGGGTGCCCCATGTTAATTAACCCTTGACCAGTTTGTATGAAGACTAGCGATGGAGATTCTCCCTTTTATGTAACGAAAACGTCTGTTATGTCCTTGATAAGAAGACAGAAGGAAGGAAACGGGGTCAAAAGAGGGCGAAGAATGAAAAGTCTGGTTGAGTCTTTCATAATGCTGATATGGCTACCTTTCGCGCGCAAAAGAGGACAGATAAAAAAATCTTCTCAGTTCCTGGAGGTTCTCACTTTCAGACACTGAAAGAAACTACCTCGTCCCAGATTTTTCGCATCTCGCATCGTCGCTTTGCAAGCTTTTCTTCCTTGAAAGAGCCAAGAAAATCCAACTTCTTCTAATTCAGTTCTGGCCCCCTCCATTTCGCTACGCTCTCAGTAGCTTGGCGTGACGGGAGAGCCAGAACTGGACTAACTCTGTTTATTTCCTTTTTCACTCTTCTGTTGAAACGTACCCGTAATTTTTTGCCATTGCACGTTTTCTGTCCACAAGACAAGATCATTCAGTTTTTGCGTCGTTACTACCTGTCGGAAGGCTGTAATTATCACTGATAACGACGCAAAAATTGTCTTGTGGACAGAAAACTTTCAATATTTGACCCTCGAATAAGATGAAAACAAAACCTTTTCTTTTGATCATAACCTCCTTATTTTTGCCGCGATTGTCAAGCGCATGCTTGATCAGGTGTAAGTCAATGTTGTTGCCACAGCTGTGCATGCCATGTCACGTGTTATGTTTTGAGTAGAAAACTACATGTCGGTTGGGGGATACCGTATAATAACTAGTTGTGGAGTATTAGATTTCAGGTTGTGCGTCACTGTTTTGCAGGTTTCATCGTCCCACACAATGAGAAAAAAAATTAATAAAATGAAACATTTCGCTGAGGAAAAGCAATTAAAGAATATCATACATCGCAATTTAGAGCTAGAATTCTGCATGATACTTACGAGAACATGGAAATTGAGAATTTATTTACAATAGGAAACGGGATTAATTTTATGGTCTCAGATTTTAACAAAACTCTAACATACTTTATCATCATTTTTTAATGGATTAAAAATGTGAAAACCGTCAATAAAAGTGACAATTCTTGTTCAATAGATTGGAGATTAGTGCAAATCTGGTTATTATTCCCAGACTTTCAATTGTTGTAAAAAGGTAGACCATAATGCTCCGCGGTTAACAAAAATGGCGAATGGCACATTTACCCATAATTCTTAGCACACGAAAACTTTAACAACGCTCCTGAAATGTAAAGGAAAGTTCTAGCATATTCAAACCTAACATACACGATTTCGTTAGCACAGGGACAAATATTGCAAAAATATGGCTTTCCTTGTACATTCTGGGCTGTGCAAGATTCGTATGATATGACAGTAAAATGTATAGCCGTCATCTTTGTTCCTAGCGAAGGATTACGTTGACAAAGCTCTTCAGACATCCCTGTGGCCTCGATTTCGAAATTTCCCGCCCAATTCACAACCAATCAAAGAGTCAGGAGTACGTCATCAGTTAAAACTTTTTTCGTTCGAATTTCAGGCGTCTGTAGAGTCCTACGTGAAGATTCTTTCGGCTTGTCACGCAGTTCTTCCGAACGAACAGGGCCGAATGCGTGACGAGCGAAAAATGTCGCGATCTGCGTAAACAGTATACTATGCTACTAAAAACGTTGGGTAAATTGTCAATAAAAGTGTTTGTTGATTGACTTGGACACATAAACAATCTCTATAAAAAGGATAAAATCTTGTCTAAGGGTTTTGGAATGTCAACAGGTGCGATTATTACCATGTATAACGAATTAAAAAAATGTACTGCTATCAGAATTTAAAAAGTATACCGCTTCAAATATCGCGGTTTCCCCTTCTTTCTACGAGATTCGTTATTAAATTGAAATCCTCTGTCTGATGTAAATTTGTTGTTTTCCTTTCTAGGGTACCGTGAAGTTCTTTCTGAGTCAAACTGCTTATCTTCGAACGATCTATAGTCCTCTTTTCGCTGAGGATTTGAGAATCTTCTTTCACGGTGTTGTTTAGAGCTATTTCGCGCATTTAAGTTAACGTTGTGGAAATTATTGTCAGATCTGTCTCCTCCTTGCCAACGTTGCTTTCCGCGCTGCAAAAAGAAAAATGCAGTACACAGATTATAAAATCCACCTCAAGGCATAAGCAATCTTGTAATAAGAGACAGCAAGCTATTCGAGGTTAGTGAATCAGCAACGGAACAGTAACACGGGTGACTTGTGATTGGTCAGAATAACAAACAGCGACAACAAGAAAGCGCGGGAAACGTTTCATCTGTCCTTCCTCTAATTGGCTAGAACCAGACTGACTTCTGAGCACGAATCGCTTCAGCTTCGCATCTTATATCAACCAATTACTAAATATGCGAGAAAAAGGAAAAACACTGCATTTTTTAAAAGATCTTACTGTCGTGGTTGGTGGACAACTTCTTTCCGACAAGTCTACCCATCAAAAGAGACGTAGTCAAATCCACACGTTCTCTTCTCAACGAGTCCAAAAACAGTTTAATGTCCTCGTCCTTAATAGTTTCATGCGAAATCCTCACCTTTTTCGCTTTCTTTTTCTTGAATACATATGGTTCCTCGATCAAGCCGTCATGGGAGGGACTGGGGTCTAAGATCTCGACGATACGCTGAAGAAAGAACACATCCGGGGTTTATTTTTCAGTTCAACTGATGGCAGAGATAATAAAAACATACTTATATATACATTCAAGCTCAAATCTTTTCACCAAGACTTTTTTTACCCCTTTAATTGTACACATGTCCTCCTTAGCGATGGCGCTCGATGCATAACGTGGCGTGACACTGAGACATGCGTTACGTGCGCAGTAAGGATGCGCAGTAGTAATAAGCAGCAGCGTCCTTAAATTTTGAAGATTTGCGTTGTGTCGATCACTGAATGCTGTTTGCTCTCGAAAATTCTAAACAGTGCAACAGACATTTATGTCTAATCTCGATCCCAGGTCCCTTCGGTTTAGCCCACAAGAGATCTCATTACGAGATCATGAATACTTTGCATCATGACATTTGTGGTTGCTTAGGTCCCGAATTTTTATTTCATTCAGTACAAATGCCATTAATCTCCCGCTTTTAAGCATTGTATTGAAGGACGCTTTAATCCTCTCAACATACTGGAAATCTTCTTAGACCACAGCAGGTTAGTGAAGTCTTTGTCTATGATCCGAATAGCTGAAATTCTCAAAGTTAAATTCAAGCTCTGATCACTAAATTCAAGATCCATTCAACATTACTACTGGTAAAACAGTCCGTGTAGCAAGTACCTCGCATCTTTCAGGTTTTTTCTTCCTCTTGTTCCTGTTGTTATTCCTGTTAGGCGTACGATCAGCGTATGGTGAGTTAAATTCGCTGGTGTCGTAGCTGTCATCATGAAATGAAACTGCAGACGAAAAAAGTAAACGTCGCGACAACAGCAACCTGAATCTTCACATTTATTAATTAGCGTATTCATTATATGGCTAGCTCTGTGAACGGGCAAGATGAACCAAATCCTGCGCTGTGATTGGCTATCCGGGCGGGCGAGATGGCGCTAGCATGCCCGCTCGGGATTACGCGCTGTGTCCCGAAGCCATACAATAAATCTGTTATTGACCAATACTTGCTCGGTAAAGATGGCTGGATATTGGCCTCGTTCTTATTTTGTGTGTTTATGGACCTAGACTCCTCCTCAGTCCATAAACACGCAAAAAAAGAACTTAACCAATACTTGACCAATAGTCAACTTATCGTCACGCTTGGTCAATAACCTATATAGCTTAGATGTGTAGAGTGCTTGTCAAAAACGCAAAAGGGCGGGAATTCTCTATTGAGCCAGAAGCCCACCAGAAAATATAAACAGAAAAAACAAGCGTTGCACTTTAGTTCCTTGGGAGATCACGAGCAGTTCTAATTCTATGTGGATAACTTCCGTATTATCTAGCATCCGTGTGATATGTGTACACATTGGCCGAATAAACTCGGGGAGAATGCGTCTGAGACGTATCATACTTCTACAGAAAACAAGACACATGAAACGTCAGACGAGCTTAACGACTTCATACGACGCATGAAACAGGCGCATTTCTCTTCTCAGATGGATAATTCGTCTAAATAGATACGAGACAAAGTAGACGAACTTAACTCAACTGTTTAGTCGTTCAGCTTGACTTTGTAACCAAGGCAGCAATCATAGCGTCAATGAGAACGTCGCCAAACACGAAGTTCAATGAGCAGAACAATGATTCTGCACGTGTGTTATAAATCTGGGCACATTTCGTTACCGTCCTCCGTGAACAAAAACGAAGAAATGACCACATGTCGGAGACGTTCGGAGCATGAAAACCATAATGGTGACTTGTTTTTGATATAAATTGACCGCTGTTTTTATATGTTCAGCTAGAGGGAAGTTCTGACCCTCATAAACGCACTGCACAGTAACGTAAAATATGCTTTCAATGCTTTAATCGACGTTTAAGTCGACAACTAATGGTAGGTACTAAGCTCCCATTTTTCGGGAATTTTGCAGGGTCCAGTCTCTCTCAGAATTATTTAAGGTCTAGACGCACTTCATGTTAGACGCAATGTATACCTGCAACCCATTATTCGCCCTCCTAGGTAAAAACGGTCATTTACACCGCAGCACTAAGAGACCGACTCACCTCTTCTAACATCACTATCATCTGTCTTTCGTATTTTTTCCGGTGGAGGCTGAAATAACCTCCAGTCCATGTCACAGTCTTGCTGTCTGGGTTGATCATAGAAGCCTTGTGACATAGCTCGGTGCTGCTTTTTGTCTTTCGATCTACGCTTCGGGTTCTGTTTCTCGTGATTGTTTTTCTCACGAGATGAAGACACTTGACCGCAGCCGTCGTAGCAAACAACAAAAGGCAAAGGCAATTCACTTCTCATTGTTGCGTTTTCCTCTTGACATTCCTGAAGATTCAGAAAAAAAAATTATGTGAACAGTGACAAACAGAGTCAATCTCCGTTATCATGATAACGCTGGCACCCGTGGGCCCTCCATTTACTACCTTTGAGTGTTTTTCGACCTTTCTACATTATTTTCACACGTAGGATTGTTATAATGTTTTCTTCGACACAGACGCAATATTGTGTAGCTCCTAAAAGGGGTTGCGGTAGAATTCCGTTTTCTTCCTACCACCCAGAGAAATAGACATTTGTTCGAAAAATTTGGAAGTTTGAAAAGGTCGAGGGTAAATTTCTTTTCACTTTATGCCAAGGGAGCAAAAAATTGCTTCGAAAAATCGGGCGGACAAACTATCCAGAGTATTTCTCATATTTGTTTGGCCTGCTCTGTAGAAAACCTGTTTGCATACGTACCAGATGAATGATGGGGCAGTTCTCTAAAGAAACTATTGAGCTGTGGCGATTGTCAACTTACAGCATTGCACATTTCGGGCGAAAGTCCCTTTGCCAGTAATGAGGAGCAGTTCAGTGGAGTATGACCAGAACAGAAAGTCTAATAAATGCCATATTATACTTACATATCCGTAGTGACCCTGGTCACCGCAGTTGTAACAATATACAGGCGAGGGAGATGAAACAGGTCTGTCAGGACGAATAACCGGACCAACTTCAGTCTGTAATAGAGACACGTATTTTGCACCATTAGAAAAAGACTGATCCAATAAATGACTCAGAATGGTTGTTTGTTAGTGGAGTATGGAAGGTGACAAGGAAATACGACAGGGAAGAATTTGCTTACTGTGAGGTGATACTGCCTCCATCGATCAGGACAATCCTGTAAACAAGAAAGAAACATGAATAGAATGAACATTCTGCACAAACAATTAGAGACTTGTCACTAGTCTTGGTGTTATTTTGTTTTAGTGCAAGACACCATGGTCTAGTGGCCTAGTGTGTTGCACTCTAAATCAAAGTATTCAAGATCTACTAATACTAATACTGTAAATATTTTCAAGTCTGGAGTTAACGAATTTCTTAGTGATTTTTAAGTATTTATTTTTTTTCATATCTTAATGTATTCTTTGAATTTATTATTGTTTGTGTATTTATATTAGTTCATAGGTGATCTGTTTTTATATGGGTTTTAGGACTCCTTTACAGATTATCCTTTCCCGTTTTAACCATAGTTTGTAATAAATAAACTACCAAACACCATGGCCTAGTATTGCTCCTCAGTCAAGCCCTGGGTGGGGTCCTTGTACTGTGCCCTTGCTGTCTTGGGGCGACTGCACATACTTTACTCTCACAGTGCCTCCAATCTCCATCCAAGGTGTATAAATGGGTACCAGTTACCAGGTCACTAGACAAAATAACTGGGGGCTGACCATGGCGCATTCTAACTTGACAGTTCAGAAACTGGGATAAGTTCTGGCAGTGAAGCTTTACTGATGTGTACAATACAAGCAATTAAACTCTTTTTGGAAGCATCCACCACGTCCTTAGGAATTCAACCTTCCATTAAGCTTATACATTCTACTGGTAGAAATAGAGAATACAAATAACACAAGTAAATCCAAAACGTTACAACTTACAACTGCTATATGGCCAAGCACATGGCATCTATTGCAGCGATCATATGGTCGCCTTCTGGGCTTCCTGCATTGCTGAGAAAAAGGGAGATAACAAAAAGGTTCAAAGAAGAATTCCTTGTCATTGCATACTTTATACGGATATCATTTTAGGAGACTGTTTGTGCCTGCTTTGACTGGATGTGCGAGTTTTACTAAAATAGCCTCTGTCATTTTATTCTGTTAAATCTGGCATTTTACATCACAAACACTGGATTTATAAAAACACTGGACTACTACCAATGTCAAAAAAAAAACAAAAAAAACAACAACTGTTAATATCATGCCCCATGCTACAACTGGACTACAGGATAAATGCTGATGATGATGAAGATGACCGCCAAATGTACAGGGAAGTAATTTCCAATTTTAAACTATATACATGTATGTACTTGACAGTTTATTGCCATTTTATTTAGGGAGATGTCACTACCACCCCCAACCCTGAAAATTTTGAATTTACATACCTTGGAAATGTGACCAGGCTCATAGCAGTTGAAACACAGCTCATTTGGACAATGTCTTTTTACATGACCAACACCTCCACACAAGAAACATACACTGATTTTCTAAAGAATCATAAAAATGCACAGGTCTATTAAATTTGCTTGCATGTTTTTGTTTTTTTTTTACTCCTTAGCACAATACTCTGGCTGTATGGACCATCAGCCTCACACAGACTTTAACTCATTATAATACATACATTAATCAGTTGTTCAAATTAACTTTAAAAAATTGCTGTGATCTGGCCACTGACAGGCTTTAAACATTTGGCTGTATCAACAGTTTTACTGCACTTAAGGGGTAGGGTTGTACCCTTATCTAAGTTTAATCATAATCCAAGATGGAAAATTATTCTACCTTGGGTAGTGGGCAATTTTGTGATAGATGACCTTTTTCGTTACAGTTATAACACTTCACATGGGGAAGTCCCTTTCCTGGTGTATAATATCTTGGACGTTGCTTGGTTGCCTTGGAGTCCTGGTAGGAAACAAAATGTCAATAATCAACAAGGACACCAGAGCTCAAAAAAGGAGGAGTAGGCTTGTTCCATGTCCACGACAAGTAGATTTTCCTTTCCAGCTTTTACTTTTCTTATATACATGTGATGCAACAGTAACAAAACTAAATCTCTTAAAGGGAAATGTATGTTCACATAATTACAAGAAAATTATACCTGGAGGTCCCTTTCATCTAGGTCCCAGTTTTCTGTCACAACACAAAAAACACACAGTGGTAAATTCAAATCTTATTTAGCATGCCCTTTGCTCAAGGACTCAATAATTGCCAGCATAATGTCTTAAACATATTTTTCTGAGTCCAAGTTTGCAACTAGCCAATAAGAAACATTGTTTGCTGTCCTGGTATCCTCTGATATCAAGTCACTGATGTCACCAGATTTTTGGTGGAGCTAATTACAATGTATGTACAGTAAAAATACAAATTTATCCAACCTTTTTAGTGTATGTCCACAGCATATCAGGTCTGTTTGGTCTTGCCTGTGGTATTTTGGCTCAGCTGCATCTTGCCAAAACACAAACNAGCTCTCAAGCTGACCCCGTGAGGGAACATTGGACTTATCAATATTTCAATAAAAACAGACATTTCACATTAGTTAAAAACACAATGACACACGCTTTAAGCATTCTTACGAGGTTTGATATTAACTTTCTCAAGAATGCTTGAGAATTTAATGGCGGGGTCACTTAGAGAAATGAACTAAAGTGAGTTGTTTTAAATAGTATTTCCAAAGTTACCGTGCTATGAGTAGATTTTTAGTAAATAATTTTTGCACTCATTACTCGCTCTTTAACTTAATCCATAGTTATTACACATACATGTAAATAATGAAATAGAAGGTTTTTACCTGCTATTTCCCCTGGTTTCACTTTATTCTGGACATCTGATGACTCCTACAAAAGAACAAAACATAGGACTGCAATGCATGCAAATAGTAATTTCACTGAATTTGTGGTAACTTGTGGTACTTTGTGGTGACCAGTAATCACCACAGGCCATGAAATGTACCATTTCCATGAAAAAATATCCATAATTATACAATATCTCAGACTTACTTGACTTACCCTGCTTGTTCCCTCGACGGCTGCTGAAAAGTTTCCATCACAAAATATGTTCACAACCTCTGAAAAACATAAAATAACGTTTCACCAAATTGAAGTGATAGTCAACCTTAATTTCATATCTATTGCTCTGTGTAGAGTACATGTACTTAACTATACAATCATGTACGAGTGAAAAATGTTGAGAACTTAAGAAATTAAATATCTGTTAAATACCTGGATAGCTAAAGGAAGAAGCAGGGTTAACATCTTCATGATCATCAGCGTAATCATTACCACTGTCGTTATCGTCACTATCATCATCACTTGAGATTTCAATAACAGAGCTGTTTAAGTGACCCTTTTGTCCTTGTGCATCCAAGGCACTATCCACTGTCTTTCTTGTTTCTGGTGTTTTCTTCCCTAAAATTAGCATGTGTACAAAAGGTTCTGTCAAAGCTTTTAAAATTAAAACTGGAGTTACATAATAATCTGAAAAATGTGCGTGTCAGAATATTTTTCCTCTCTCACATAGGCTTTGATGTACATTCCCAAAGACAATGTTATAACACAATTGGTTCATGCTTTGTAGCTATGGACTATCAAGTTATGGTGGTCAGGACTAGGGAAGTTTGGAGACCACTCAAGAAGCTAGAGTTGTCAATCACCATAAGCGACTCTTGTGCCTCTTTTGTGCTCTCCAAACTTCCCACATGCGTCATAACTCATTAAAAAACAGTCCTAAGAAAATATGTGCTGATAGGTTAAAAATCGTGTTTCTACAACTGAGTAGAGACACAGAACTAGCATGAGCTGCTGACGTAATGATGGCACAGGCAAAGAGAATTTACATTTTGATAATAAAAGTTTACAAGTTGTTTTCCTCTTTTTGTTGCGGTGTTTTCTAAAAGAAATAGAAAACATGTTCTCCATGTTTCTATAGAGTTATAGAAACACTCGCGAAAGTTTGGAAGAACTCGAAAAAAGGTGTGGAAACACTCGCCTGCAGCTTGCGTTCCACATAATTTCTCGTTCTCCCAAACTTCCACTCGTGTTTTTATAACTTGACAGAAACACTGTATATGTTTTCTATTTCTTAACTAGCACATGCTAAAGCAAGTCAAACAGACATACATACAGTACCTGGAGTGTAATTTCCTGATAATACAAGAGAAGAAGCATAATGTACTTGGCTGTAAAGAACCTCTTCTACTTCACTGTCCAAATCATCATCACTTCTGTAGAGGAGAAAGAAAAACAGGATGCAATGGAACAGTAATAAATGAAAATTTAAACCGTATTTAAACAGGGCTGTTGCCGGTACGAGGCAAACTGAGACACTTGCCTCTGTCAGTCAGTTTTTTTAAATTTTTGTTGTTATTTCTTTTAGAAGGAGGAAAGTAAAACACTGCTAAATACCTGCAAAAATCTAACTATGAACATTGCATAATTATCTTCTGGTAACAACCTTGAATTACAGGAGGTTTTCAAAAACTTAACCAGGTTGTTTCCATCTGCAAATCTTATCAGAATGATTATGCATGTATATCCTGACCTCTACATCAATAAATATGATTAGCATTGTTTTGCCTAGGAAATGCTTTTGTACACAAACCTATGTTCTCTTATTCTGTTGTGACAGACATAATTATCATGCTGTGCAGCAATTCTCTTGAGATAATGCTTTTTGCAGTGAATTTCTTTCATCAAAAATGTCTGGACATTAACTTGTACATGCATGTAGGAGACACCCTATATACAGTGATAACTGTATGTTTATATTAGAGGGAGATGAAAGGAGGGGGTGGTCTAGATCAGGTTTCACGGAAAATAAAAAGGGCCTTTTTCAAATCAAGGAAAATAAAAATTAGGCTTTTCACATTTCAAGAAAAAGGGGGACATTTTTCATATGAACTTGCACAACTAATGGATGTTGAAACTTCAGGAAACTTCATTGCCCCTGCTTCTTTTATCTGAACATGTAGCGAAAAGAAAACTGCTTTCCACAAAATACTGATGTAAAGAGGTCAAAGATTGGCCTGCGCAGAATTATGTAATGTTTATACTATTATAATAGGTATCAAAAACAATAGAAAGCATAAACAAAATAACAGTTCATAATGAAGTTAAGGTTTATTTCTTTCTTTATTTTTTTAAGGTTCATTTCAGAGAAAATTCTTCGGGAAATCATGTTTCATGGGTATTATAAAAATCATGATTGATGAGAAAAAACTTACCATTTCACATTTCATTGGGAAAAAATAAGGCCATTCACCAATCACAAAAATACCCTTTTACAACCCTCATATAATGCAGAACTATTTGGACAGATTTTAAAGAAGAGAATTAAACAACAAGAACTAAAAACAGGCCCATCTAAGACTGAAACCAATCATCAGAAAAATTTGAACAAAACAATCGAAGTCTGTTTGTCACCAGACCAATTACAGTATGTTCAATCATGCTGAATGTTAACTATGAAAATAGACCAGTTCCATAGCTGCTTATATTTGAAAAAATTTCTAAATTGTTGACTTTCATGAGATGATAAACAAATGGAAAATAAATCACAGATTTCAACCGACAAATCTCAGATCCAGTGTTAACAACAATTTTGAAGTCAGCATAAAAAAAAATAAAACAAAATACTTCAAACAAAGCAACAAAAGAAATCCTAAGGGTCCAGTAACAAAAACAGTTTTGAACACTTAAGCTATAAAACAACTCTGAATGGTCTGAATAGCCTAGCTACAACATTGAATTTGAACCTTCGACCTACAATAGATTCATATTTCAGATTCAGATAATTCTTAAACCAGTGCAAACAGAAATAATTTTAAACCCAACGTAAAAACAGATATCTCCCGGGAGATCTTTATGATCCAGCCTGGCATATAGTAAATCCTACAATAATATATTATTCCTGATACCACAATTACTTTATTAGCCGGACTTTCCACATGTTTGGACAAGATTTATGGAGAGAAGAACATGTGGTTCCCATACTAACCCAGATGAGGACTGTTCTTCATATAGTTGATCTTCAAATGCTTTGTAAGCTACAGCATCAAAGTCGTCATCGCTGCTCATACTAAAGGTAAACTTTGTACACAAAAACACATAAGAACTTCTGGAACTAGCACAAGCGTGTTTTCAGAGGAATCCAGGAGGAATCGATTACACTTCCGGTAAACGAAAACGTAATCAAAGCGCGCACAAAAATAATCATTGTAAGTTCGTGGAATTTACTCACCTTACGCTCCAGATTGTTTAAATCGTTAAAAGTTAATAATCAGCAGAATCTAAGACACGCAAGTCAAAACACAGACAAAATATATAAATGCCTAAGAGTACAGGTGTATGTCGCAACGTGTTAGTCAAAATGTGACAGGCGTTAACAAACTTTAAATTACCCCTTTTTGTAACACATCATGAAATTGTCATTATTGTCATTTTAGAAAGAACAGTTTTAGGAAAAAGTATTTTGAAATTAACAGATAATTGCGCTAAAATTTCCGACCGGAAGTAGCGAAAATGGTGATCTGAATATTTTCTGAAACCTAGAATCAGAGAAAAACAGGTTGCGACTTTTGTTACATGATGTAGTGTTTTACTCCAGAGGAAAATCATGAGCCTGCGGTAGTTCACATCATGGCCGACGATCACGAACGTTTCGAAGCAGAGATAGATTTGGACGTTTCTTTCAACGAGTTTGATGAAGAACTTTCTGAATCCAACGAGGGGAATTGCGACCCAAATGTGGAAGCAGTAATCACGAATGACAAAGAAACGAATACCAAACAACATTCCAGCATCTTTAATTTTACGAAAGACACATGTGAGCTTGCTGAAGATGTTATTCCAAACGTTTCACACAGAAATTGTACAGGCAATGAGAAAAATTTAGTGAACATGGAGGATGGTGAAATATCAGTCTCAAGTGATAGTGAGGACGGTGAAAAAATGGATTTTGACCAAGGGATTGGAGTAGGCTTGAATCCAGTTCAGACAGCGACAAACTCAGCTGAAACTTCCAAGGAAACGACTGCAGACAATTTTACGTTCTTGCCGCCAAGCTCTGTGGTGGAAAACTTAAACAAAAATGAACGTTTGAACGAAGAGTTTATGAGCGATACAACTAAGTGTGTTGACGAGACAGAGAGCGCAAATGTGTCTATGGAGTCGGATAATTCAATGGATGATCAGTCTTGGAAAAGACACAAGCGAGCAAAACTAGAACATGGCAGTCTAGAGACTGGGCAGGAGGAGAAGAACTATGGGGAAGGTAAAGAAAAACAGAAAGTACAGTTATATCAAAAGTGAAATACAGCTTTTTGTTGTTCGCTGGGCTTAATAAAACGGTCTGTGTAAAACGCAGACTACAGACTGCAGACTGCAGACGGGGTAAAATGCGGACTGGGGGTAGGGGTAAAATGCAGACTGTAGACCACAGACTTTAAGTATGTATTGTGCTATTTCCATTATCAGGTGCTAACTCTAAACGGGGTCATCCAGGCTAATTGCAGTGAAAGTCTGCACTCTGGTTAGCCAGAATATCACTCCGGTTAGCCTGAATATCACTCAGGTTAGCCTACATAGCTCTCAGAGATGGAAAGGTTAACACGATTCAGTTAAAAAGTCAACAGTCTTTAGTCTGCATTTTATCCCCAGTCTGCAGTCTGCAGTCTCCATTTTACACTGACTGTTTAATAAAAAGCTTCACTTAAGCCAAAGTGGTGCACATTGCCGGATCTTGTCATGGATCTGGAAAGCTGGGGTAGTTGTTACATGTACATGAACTCCTCCCCTAAATGGAACGCGATTTCATCTCAGGTTACTGCTCAGCAGTTTTCGCCTTTGCATTAACAGTTTGTAGGACTGTGCTGTTGTAGCTAAAAACAAGCAAACCATGGCACTTGCCATGGTAAAAAGTTTAAGTCTAATTCAGATTTCTGTAAGCATGAGTGAAAGTGACCTACAGCTGTATACAGTTCCAGCAAGGTTCTGTTAAGTGCCCTGGTGAAAATCTTTTGAAGATGTTTAAGGAGAGTCAAAGAAATTCATGTGGAACTTCAAGGATGCTATAAAAGATGTTTCAAAATCTTTAAATTCTTACCAAGATCTTCAGAGATTCTTATATTTGTGGCAGTGCCAGAATCTGTAAGGGTCTGTAAGGATCATCAGTGATCTTGTTCAAAGATCTTGAAAGATTCCTCTTTGCACAGAAGTTTGTAGATGGAAATTGTACTTAATTATACTTTACATAAAATCTTTTAATAATAATAATAATAATAATAATAATAATAATAATAATAATAATAATNAACGTTCTGATTCTTCCGACTCCGATTCCGTCGAGCTTACGACTCCGCTTATGACTCCGATTTTCGATTTTCAGTAGGTCATAAGCGCTCTTACGTCTCCGACTCCGACTCCGTCGCTAATGAAAACCAGCCTTAAGAATGCGTAGATACAATTAGCGCTGACGTCCTTGAGGTCATTCCCCAGTATTGCAATGCGCATCCCTACTGCGCATAATTTCACGCGTGATTAGCGCGCGCGCATTAAAAAATGGCGGTTTTTTTCTTTAAGGTTGGACCTCGCCATAGAGGTAAATCGTCATTTTCTCGCAAACGAGTATGGTGACCTCTCATTTTTGTGGCTACTGTTGCTAGGCAACAGTAGCCATTATGTTATTTTCTGTTGTTTTGAATTGAGTAATAAATTTCTCTGTGTAAAATAAATATGGACCAATTCTCAGTGTAGAACAAAAAACAATTGTCGGAAACGTGAATTTAGCACGCAATCGTGACTACAATCATGGTGCCATTATAAGGATTTATTGGGTATAAACAAGGTGCTGCTGCTCCTAAACGAACATGGGGACCCGTCATTTTTATTTTAAAATTTAAGTTCCTATAATATAAACAATCAAAAGGCAAAGTTTCACAAAAATCTCAGAGCAGGTTCTATTTCAGTGGACTGGAATGACCTTAAGTTGCCGTTGACGTTATGGAGAGAGGGCCGTTGTTGAGAGGTTAAAATAAGAGAGGATGTATGAACCGTCCGCCGGGACAAAAAAAAATGGCCATCGTAAAGGGGTGGCCGTTAGTGGAGGTTCGACTGTCATTCACCAGAATTGTGATTCTTTGATGTTGTTTGAAGTAGATTCTTGACATACCTGCCTCTCTTCTTCCTCCTCTGACTCTGAGTCCATGTCCTCCAAATCATCATCAAGAAGGCTTCTCTGTAAATCAAAAGAAAATCACAGAGACTGAACAACAACCGAATACGAACTTGTTGCCAAAGTACAAAATAAACTAAATTAACTAAGATAATTATACTTGTAAAATGAGCGAAAAGAAATCCTAGTGTCCTAATTGGAGCCATGGTAAATTGAAGTACAGAATATCAAATTAAAAAAAAAAAACATTCATATGAAAAAACAAAACTTTTGCAATAAGCAAATTAACCTTTAAAAGAAGAAAATGGAACACCAAAGAGGTCATATTATTAATTCTTACCCTTGGTTCAAGTTGATTGGAACTCTCAAGCACATTTCTCTTCTGAAAAAGGAACCAATAATTTGTTAGTCTAGAACTCTAGAGAGTCATTCATTTTGTCAAGCTTGTGCAGTAAGGAACGAATACTTGAAGGATGAGGTTGATCAAGAAGGTGAGAGTGGCAACTACATGTAAATACCCTGGGCACCTGAAGTTGAATGCAGTGAATTGAAAAAATGTCTTCCCTCTTTTCTTGAATCCTCTTACATTCTGAATTTCTCCTTACTCTCTTTTCAAATAAATAATTCAGCATAAGACATTGACTTACTGCGACCATTTTCACAGCTGAAGTCACAAAGTAAGACAAACATCATTGGGACACTTAACAAAATACAGTTGAATCTCTATTAAGCAGCAGCCTCTAGTTAAATGGCCAGTTATCAAAGTCCCAAAATTATTGTCAGTAAAATACTGTAAATAAAATCCCAATTAACTAGCCATCTCTATTAAGCTGCCGTGGCCACTTTTTGGTCGTCCCGATGAGAGTTTTTCTATTGTCTTTACCTCTATTAAAAGGCCACCCAAAATCTAATGCACACAGATTAACTTTGTTTTGGAAAAGTCAATGGCAGATCAGAGTCTGAAGAGAATTCACAGTGACAAGTGGTAAAAACATTCAAACACATTTATCATGATTGTCTTGAAGTGACTCAATGTCCACTAAGAAATTAACCTGATGGTGAAAATATTCAAGGTAAACAAACTCCTACCAATTCTCCAAGGATGGCTACCTAATAGGGGTTCAACTGTAGTGTCCAGTGAGAAGCCATTATTCAACTTGCCAAGACCTCCTTCCCCAAAACAATGTCAACAAGCAATTTCAGTGTACAGGTCTGGACACCGTGGAAGTCATGAACGATATGTTTTCAATTGAAAACTGAAAAATTTGCATCGTATATATTCACAGATACCATTCTCAAACCACGCGAGTTAAAAATTTCTGGAGTTGCATCTTTCATGAACGTGGTAAACATCAGAAATCCGGTGCTGGCACTCGCAAGCGAAGCTTCGTCAGATCACACAAAGTTTTGCAGCATTGTTGCTGCATTGTTTGCTGTACAATAGGCTATTAAAATCTCGCGAGAAGTTCAGGCAGCCGTACTTACAGTTTTTTAAAGCTCTTGCGAGACGAAAGTCTCATCTCTCGAGACAAGAGTCTCATCTCACGAGACGAGATACTCGTCTCACGAGAAGGTGGTAACTTACTTTTGAGCGGTACTGTACAACAGTTTCATTATGTTTTCAGCAGGAGGTCAACTGGTTTTCACAGGTGGGCAAAACTAATAAAACTGAGCCTCTTTGTAAGAAAAACTTTTCCGTAGATGGTCAAACCAGCCAGGTAAAGTTGTCCTTACAGCTGGTCAATCTGCCCGGTGCCCGGCCCTTGATGAAACCCCTGGACATATTGTCACAGTTGAAAGAATGGAAAACAACAATGCATTCGAGGGTGGGGAGGAAGAGGTAAAGAAAACAATCATTTGCTGACACAACAGTCGAGGGGTAAGGTAAGGTAAAGTCCACCTTGCCGGCACATACTTTCACCTGGAGCAACTACTGGTAGGAGTATTTCTATCCCCCCCCTGGATGGGATGCTAGTCCATCACAGGGTTAACCCCAGCATTAAATTCACTGGTGCCTATTTATACACCTGGGTGAAGAGAGGCACTGTGAGAGTAGATGTATAGAGTCTTTCCACGATCACAACAGGATGTTCCCAGCCAGGGCTCAAATTCAGACCACTCAATCCGGAGGACAAGGCGCTAACCATGAGGCTAACGCACCCCCTACAAAAACACTGGAGGATTCAAGTTTTTCGTCTTGGATTATAGTTACATTCATAAGATTAGTAACCGTGATCCCCTCTCACCTGAATGCGAGGCAGAATGACATCACAGGCTCTGTCTTCTCTAAGCAGCTCATCAATGAACTCATCCATGTGAGAAAGCTCCATTTCTTTTAAAATAAACAATATAACCTCATTTAGTGAAACCACACTTGTCATGTGTTAGTAAAAATAATCAGCACTCAGTGGCTTCAAATTTTTTTTGAACCTCAAGTAGATTGTACAGTTCCAGAAAATATCCACACTCCCCTGCCCCCCATAGAAGGGACTGGAATTTCCTAGGGGTGGGGGACTTATGTAAGCCCAAAAAATTTTTTAAAATGTACGAAGATTAATTAGAATTTCCACAGGAGTAGGGGTCTTAGAAAAAATCCCTTCCATGGGGGAGGTATAGACATTTTCTGGAACAACACATTAATTTGAGGTCTCTTGTAATAGTGATTGGTACCTTTAACTGTCCCAATTTTGCAGTAAAGTGACAAATTAGTTTCAGTGAATTGCCTTCTTGAAACATTGTGCAGAAGAAAACAGCTTGTTGTTATGCAGAAGTTCTTTTCCCTTCATATTTGGCAGCCTAACTTTCACAAAAATATAAATTGTATGGATCACAGTAACTCATTCTACAGAAATTACAAAAGGCTGAGCTGGCTGTGTGGGCCACTTTGGCCTACAAAAGATTTTACTTAAGCAAGGCTACTAAGCCCCAAACATTACTATCTCAAATATTATCTACAGTTATTTTCACAAGCCTCAGGTTATTGGGCTTGCAGAAACCTCAAATAAAGTGTACCGTAGGACAGCACAACACTTTTCTATGATAAGATACTGATATTGGAAAACTTACTTCCCATCTTATTTTTCCTTCTGATTTTTCTGTAATCATTGTAAAGTGGCTCCAGGTAATTATAACAATCCATTGACGTCCCTACAAGCCTCATGTACATGGCTCCCAGTGCTCGCACATACCTACATTGGCAGTAGAAAATAGAACTTTGAGCCTCTAAAACAACAAAGAGTTAACAAATTTTGACACCAAAGACAAAAAGTAGAAGGGAAGTTCTGAGGATAACAGCAAACTCTTTGTCGAGAGTTACACCAGTCCTGTACATTGCAATGAACATCTGTACAGAGGCAGAAAGAAGACAAACTCACTTGACAAGATCACTTGAAGTGAAATAGGTGTACAAGTAAGGATATGGACAAGAATCAAGAAGAATAGTCTAAGTTGCTTTTCTACTGTTCTATGGGAGCTGCATACTAGTAACTGTGGTACTTGAGTCTCACATACATTGTGTCACCTTGACTACTCTGATTGGTTAGAGCAATTTTCACTTACGTGTCAAAAGGAACTTGCATTTGCTATGGTTTTGCTCGCGCTACACCACCACGTTGTCATCCAATAAGAAGTAAACCAAAACCAGTGACTATTTATTGTCACTTGCTCTTACACATTTTCCCAATTCTTTACATTAGCCACCTACAAATTATTTCCTTTGAGTTTTGATTGGTTCACTGGAATATCGATCAGTTTGTGATTGACCAGTGTAATTACTTTGGGTTGGTTTTTCACACCAATAAACTGAAAACTACTCCACTGTGTAACATAGAATGAATGAGGAAGAAAACAACAGATATGCCACTAATTTCTAAATTATTTTGGGGGGTTATTCCAGTTTACAACATGGAGGTCCTTCAAGGAAGGTGCTTGAGGGAACATGATTAGTAATTCTGTCAAGGAAAAAAACAATTCTTTTTTTTTTTAATCACCATCCTGAATCAATGAAAACAAGTGCCAATTATATTTTGGGCATTATTAAAACAATTCTTATCATACTCTCATCCCGGATGAGAAATGGATATGAATTTTCTTAATTATGTCACCCCACAGTCATATTGTGTGACTCCCAGAAGTGACAAAGCCAAATCTCAGGAAAACTTGATCAGCTTCTAATTCAACAGCGAACACCAGTGCAAAATAGCCAGTGTGCATTCAAACATGAGCGAGAGCTTCAGTTTTATACAACTCTCATTCTTTATGATCCAGCCTTCTTGTACAGTTGGATACTGTTATCTCAACCCCCCAAAAGTTTGAGATAACAGGAGTTCAAGATATCTGAGAATAAACGACTAAAAAGTATACTCAAGTGAAAATAATTTGAGTTTGAGATAGCAGGGAGTTCCTTATAGCTGAGATCAAGATAGTGAAGTTGTACTATATATGCATATTTTAGCTTTGATCATACTTGTAATCCTCATTTTTGATGAACTCCACAACTATTTCCTTCTCTGGCTGAATTTGCAGCATTTTTAACACCAGGCATAAGAAAGGCGTCGGTTTGATGTTTCCACCATATGTACCACCAACATGATCTAACTCCATTGCTTTGTCCACCAACAGCTCCGCTGGATTGTCAAAACACAAGAATTTTACTCTACAATACAACACTTATGATCCGATCATAGTATCCGGTTGTCTCCCATCAAGCATTAATTAAACCAGTCAACGTTCCGATCTTTGATGAAGAATTATTCTGCTTGATTACTGAATCTCCGAGTGAAGTCAACGACTTAAGCTTTCTACGTCCGTTTGCTGAAAAGCTGATGCGTGAAGGAGTACATGACTTGGACACTGTGCCTCAAAAACTAAGACCGATTTCTGTGTCAAATTATTCATTGTTAAAAACAACGTGACTTACCTGAAAGCGCAAAACATTGCTCCTTCCAGTATTTATTCTCATAAATACGTGCACGAGTGATTTTCTCCACCAAATACTGAGGATTTGTTCCCTTTACCGTTTTTGCATCGGAAACCGTGCGGTTCGCCATGTTGGATTTCTATTTAGTTTCCAAGCTCCTCTCATTTATTCATCCCAGAGTTCCAAGTGCGTTTGGTAAAGAAAAACATTTTGGCCTGAACGGCTGCATTTTTGGAAATTTATTAATCTTTTTGTATCGATATCAAAAGTAGAACTCGATCATGGAATATTTAGCACCAGAGCACCAAGATCTTGCTACACAGGGACTTGATGAACTGCGATCAAAGCTTCCGTCAGCTCAAGAAGATGTACTGGAGAACGTGAAAGCGGAAGTGTGGTCATTTCCCAGAAGCTTCAAACTAGCGCAAGAGAACATGAGTAAAAACCTGCCAACAGCTTCACTTATCTGGGAATACATGCTTGACAAGGCCGAGAACAAGCAACAGAAATTTGCGATCATGAACAAACTCTTCCAAGTTCAGATCGCAACCGGGCCATGGAGAGCCGCTTTAGAGACAGCTCAGAGATTNGGACTTGATGAACTGCGATCAAAGCTTCCGTCAGCTCAAGAAGATGTACTGGAGAACGTGAAAGCGGAAGTGTGGTCATTTCCCAGAAGCTTCAAACTAGCGCAAGAGAACATGAGTAAAAACCTGCCAACAGCTTCACTTATCTGGGAATACATGCTTGACAAGGCCGAGAACAAGCAACAGAAATTTGCGATCATGAACAAACTCTTCCAAGTTCAGATCGCAACCGGGCCATGGAGAGCCGCTTTAGAGACAGCTCAGAGATTATTCAACGAAACCATTGCGGAGTACTCATCGGAGAATGCGAGTCGACAGACAGCAACCGAAGGAGGTTTGGGTACGTTAAATTGAAATTTTCGTCGTATTTCTGTTTTTGCTTTTATATCAGGGACCAAATTAAAGAACATATGATCTTGTCGTCAATCTTGTCAGGGAATTTGTCTACTTCCGCTTTCGTGCATAGTTGATCAGTCACGCACACAAAGGTTGTTACGTGACCAGAGGGATTTCGGAACTTTTCCGAGAATCCCTAAAAACGGGCGTTATCAAGTCACGCTAAGTCATGGTGTCAATCAAGTTCATACTAAACCCCTGCAAGAGTTAAATTCATTGACTGAGAAACGAAAAAGAAGCGAGACTGGGAAATTTAGCGTCACGTTTCTTTCATGTTTCTTGCACGATGGACTAAGAGAAAAGAGGGGATGCTCATAGTACAGACAGCCTTTGGACTCGTCTCGCATTCTTCCACCAAGATAGCCCCTTCCAGGCGTTCAGTTAGTTGGGACACAGTGCAAAATTCAGCGGAGTGAAATAAGGGAGAGAGACGCTTAGTGCGAGGAGCGAACGAACGTTAAGTTCTCTTCCCTTGCCGCGTAGGTTCGATTTCCGCCGCTCTCTCGGGTTCGCGTGACTTTTCGCACCGCGCTTCTCCCCTATTTTTTCGTGCGCCATTTTGCGTGCGCCAATTTTCGTGCGCCCCAACTAAGTGAAACGGCCCAGAAGAGACTACCCCCAAGAAGGGAGGAAGATCTGTGATTTTAAAATTTCAGTTTTTTCCGGAGTATAGTAACAGCTAATCCTGGGAAGTGTGCCATAGCCTTTCCTGTAAATCAGTGCCGGAACACTCTGGTACCAAAATACGCATTAATTTACAACCCTTAAAAGGTTTGACGAGCATTCCCTACTGTCAAGGAGTCTCCCAGAAAATTGGTAATGGTATTGCTCTGGACTCACTTCAATTCTGCCGATCTGATTTGTTTTCTTGATGTTATTTTCCACAGACTCTCTTCTGACAGCGCCGCAATTATTCGATGCTTGTCTGGATCTGGGGTCGATACATCGTCTGCTTAAAGAACTAAACAAGGCGGAACAGTTGTATCAGAAGGCCTGGGAAATTGCTGTGTCCATGAAGGATTTTAAAAAAGAAACCTTAGCTAAGATACATCTTGCAGTCTGCCTTCTCGATCGTGGAGAACTAAAAGAGGCCATTAACACCTACTTTGAGCCGCTGATGGTGTTTAAAACCGCCATGAAAAAGCACACAAGAGCTCTTTATCTACACTACTATGGTGGTGCATGCCGGTCTGCGGCAGACTGGGGCAGAGCTAAAGAGTATCTCCGGGAGGCCCTGGATCTAGCAAAAGAAGTGAAGGATGTCGGGCTTGTGTCGAGCTGCTGTGGTGAGCTGGGTAATGTTTTCAGATCGGAAGGAAGGTGAGTCATTGATCACGTGAGAGTTGCAATGTCCTTATATTCTTCAAAATTAGGCTACCAAGAATCAGGATATCAAAACGTACTCGTACACCGACAAATTTTAATGTTAATCGAAAACAAACAATTATGCGAGGGGACTGCATTGAAACCGTTTGAGTTAGCTAATTCGGATTACCTTCGAATGAGAGGGCAAAAAGCTTACTATTTCACAGCTGTGTCCTCAATAACACAGCCTGTGAACAGGCTCCGGCTACTTGGATCTGGCCGCGGCTGAAAGGGTTGGCTGTGAGTGAAGTGGTCGAGAGGGGAATGGGGTGGGGTTGGGGCGTTCCTCTCTCCTCTTCTCTTTCTTCCCTCCTTCTCTTCGCCCCATCCTCAACTAGAGAACCTGTTCACAGGCTATAAATAGCAATTTAAGATTTAAATTCTCATGTATACATTCCTTCGTTTCAGATACAAAGATGCAGAGAGACTTCACACAATTCATCACAACTTCGCTTTGAACAGAGGAGATGTTCATGGCCTGGCAATCTCCTGCGGTAATATCGGCTTCTTGAAGTTTTACAATCCTGAGGAGTTTGACGATTCTGTAATGTACCAGTTCATTGAATACTCTCTTGCTGAACAAGTGGGTGATTTTGCTCGCACGGGCATCGCATTCAACAAAATTGGAAAGCTTTATACAACAATAGGCTACAACGAAGAAGCCGTTACCATGTTTCAAATTGCACTGAATGTCTCTCGAAGGGCCAGCAACGTCGCAGGTGAAGGAATGGCGTGGGGAAATCTAGGCACAGTTTACAGAGCGTTGGAAAGATTCGAAGACGCTATCGCTTGCCATATAAAATACAGAGACAATGCTGAAAGACGGATGGACATCGGTGGAGTAGCCATCATGCAGCATCAGTTAGCAATGGATTATCTGCTGAGTGGAAAGCTACCAGAAGCAGAGAGATCCATTCTCAACGCGTTTGAAACCCTGGAAAAGATCCGTGCACAGATCGGCGAGGAAGACAAATCAAAGCTGTCGAATTTTGAGAAGAATCAAGCCGAAGCATACAACCTGTTACAAGTTGTTCTCGTCGCCCAACTGAAGTATAAAGAGGCGTTAGTATTGGCGGATACCAGCCGAGGAAGAGCACTGGCCGAAATTGTTCGTAAGCGATTACACGGAGATAAATCCGCTGAAAAAGAAACGACTTCTCTGAATGAAGAATTTATAGAAGAATCCTTCAATAACCTGCTGGAAGTCAGTCGTAAACTCTCCACAACGTTGGTTTTTTACTCCGTGGTGAAAGAATTTGACGAGTCTGGAGCGTTCTACAGTTGGGTCTACGCATGGGTATTGTATGGTTATGGGTATTTCACCTTGTAGTCCGTGTCTCGAATCCCCTTCTCTAAAATCTTGCATCCACCTCAGAAGCTGAATATCTGCCGTCCCTTCCTGTCGCCTGTTGCAGAGGGAGGAAGCCACCAGATGAGACTGCTGAAACTCAGGCTTCAGAGCAGTTCGAGTTTGGACGAGTTGAACAGTTGTAAAAACGGACATTTCTAAACGGCTCTTACGGATCAAAAGTAAACTCTCTCTTCCCTTTGCCTCTTACACAGACGTCTACCGTCATGCACAGAGACCCATTAAATAAGGCACCTGGTGTTTGGCAAGTACGTTTATATGCATCCACCTAAAAAGTGTGTCTTGCTCGTGTACGTGTCTCGCTCGTGTATCAATATGTAGTCAATCATGTTGCCACTATCTTCAAACTTTTAAGCAATGACTTCTGCCTCTCTGTGTAGGTCTGTCACGCGCATTTCTGGCGGCTGGCGCGGCTTGCGTGATTGTCACGCTCTGGAAGATTGACGACCGATCCGCTTGTGAACTCATGACATACTTTTACCGAGAATACAAGGCTTCCCGTGATGCTGCGGTGTCGTTGCAGAAGGCCATGAAGATTCNCAAATAAAGGACCTGGGCAAAATCCTCAGAGGCGAAAAGAACCCTGGCGTCTCCAGGGAGGCGAAAGTGTACGTGACAACTCTCCAAAGCGAAGACGTGTTGAACTCGCTAAAAGGACTGGAACACATGTTTCCATCAGGCCTGAGTCTAACTAACACCGAGAATGGAAAAAATCTCAGTTTGGATCGGGAAGAGGGATTACATCATCGACCTAGTTTTCAGAGCGACACAACTTTACACGAAAGTGACACCCACATTGACAAGAATTTTAACCTTGAGCCCAAATCAACAGACCAGCAAGCATCGTGTGCACTGAAAGAAACAACCACAGCACAACCAGGCGCAACTGACGGGACGTGCTCGGAGAATAACGTAGAAAATTCACAAACAGAAACGAAACAAGAGCAGGACGTTTCGAAGAGAGAAGACTTGTCAGAAGCCTCCTTCTGTGGGTCACTGAGCCAGAGCGAATCAAAGGAGGAAAGTGCCGCTTCTGGTGCAATGGATGCCAATTCTGAGGAATCTCCACAACCCTTTGAAAGTCAGGAGGAGACCCTTAAACCCTCTGAAGGTATTGTCCCGCAGCTGGAAACACAACACGGCGAAGGGTCTAACACTCCACTACAAGGTAAAATTCAGACTGAAGCAGAGGAGAATTCTGTGAATTCAAGTTGTGACGTCCCTGAAAGCACATTTTCTCATGATAGCGTATCTGAGCCCCCGAGTGTTCATTCAAAACTAGAAACAGCCAACAAAGAGACATCTAGTGAAAGTCGTATTGAAGTAGAGAATGATGAGTTGGCTTCTGTGACAGCTAGTGATGA